TGGCCGTGGGACTGGCCGTGGGGCTGGTCGTGGAGGCGCTCGTGGGGCTGGCCGTAAGGCAGGCAGTCGGGCTGGCCGCGGGACCCGGCGTGGGGCTGGCAGTCGGGCTGGCCGTCAGGCTGGCCGAGGGGCTGGCAGTTGGGCTGGCCGTCGGGCTGGCCGTGGGGCTGGCAGTCGGGCTCGCCGTGGGTCTGGCCGCGGGGCGGGCCGCGTGGCTGGCAGTAGTCGGGCTGGCCACGGGGCTGGCCGTCGGGCTGGCCAGGCTGGCCATGGGACTGGCCGCGGGGCTGGCAGTCCGGTTGGCCGTCGGGCTGGCTGCGGGGCCGGCCGCGGGGCTGGCCGCGGGGCGGGCATTCGGGCTGGCCGCGGGGCGGGCCGCCGGGCTGGCCGTCAGGCGGGCCGCGGGGCTGGCAGCCGGCCAGACCGTGGGGCTGGCAATCGGGCTGGCCGCGGGGCTGGTCGCCAGGCTGGTCGTGAGGCTGGCCGTTGGGCTGGTCGTCGGACTGGCCGTGGGGCTGGCAGTCGGGCTGACCGTGGGGCCCGTCAGGGCGGCCGTGGGGCTGGCAGTCGGGTTGGCCGAGAGGCTGGCCATGGGGCTGGCAGTCAGGCTGGCCGTGGGGCTGGCAATTGGGCCGGCCGCGGGGCTGGCAGTCGGGCTGGCCACGGGTCTGGCCGCGGGGCTGGCCGGGCTGGCCGTCAGGCTGGCCGACGGGCTGGCAGTCGGGCTGGTCGTGGGGCTGGCAATCGGGCTGGCCGTCAGACTGGCCGTGGGGCTGGCAATCGGGTTGGCCGTGGGGCCGTCCGCGGGGCTGGCAGCCGGGCAGGCCGCGGGGCCGGCCGTGGGAGCGGCCGCGGGGCTGGCAGTCAGGCCGGCCATCCCAGATCATGCGCGACCGATTTTTTTTGGTAGCGAAATGGAAAGACCGGTAACGACGTCGTTACCGAAAAATTCGGTAACGAGCGGTCGCGACCGAAAACGCCGTTACCGAAAAAATCGGTAACGGTCGGTAACGCCGTTACCGATTTTTCCGAGCCTAAAATCTGACAAATTAAATTTGTCAGACCTGACGTTGCCGACCGTTACCGACCGTTACCGACCGTCGATTACAAACATGAGGTTGTTGATGACGATGGTGATGCTGATGATGATGATGGTGATGATGATAACGATAGTAATGCTGGTGATGTGTATGACATGACGATGCTGATGATGCTAATAAGTATGATGAGGATGAGGATGGTGATGATGATGGCGATTACGACGATGATGACGATCGTGATGATGACGACGATGATGTTGCTGATGATGACGGGCATGCATGGAATGATGATGGTAGTGATAATTATGAAGGTGACGCCTGCGATGGTATTGGCGATGATGATGATAATGATGAGGATGATGGTTTTGGTGATGATGATGAAGGTGATGGTGATGATGATGATGCTGAGGATGATGATGATGATGATGATGATGATGATGATGAGGATGATAGTGATGATGATGATGATGGATGATGAAGGTGATGGAGATATCCGAGTTACCAATACCACTCATCAAAACACCACACAGCAACACATGCACCACACATCACAACAGCATAACATACTCCAGATTCTACAAATCAACAAACCCAAAACAGAAAACACAGAAAACAACACAAAACACAACAACACAAAAGCAAACAAACACAAACACAAACAAAAACACAAACACAAAAACAAAACAAACACAAACAACAGAACAAACACAACAACAAAAAAAACAAAATAACAGAAACAGGAACAACACCAAAAAAACAGGCAAAAACAAGAAGAAACAACATAACAAAAAAAAAAACACACAGCCAACAACAGAATCACACAACAACAAAAACAAACAACAACAAACAAACAACAAACAACAAACAACAACAAAACAACAGATACAAACAAAAAGTCAGACACACACAAACAAACAACATAAGACAACAACAGCAACACAACAAAAACACAGCTGCAAAACAATACACAAACAAGAACAGCATTGCCTCAGCCTGTTTTACAGTCGCTGCATGGGTGCTCTTTCCGTTTCGTCTCGCATTCTTTCTTTTGGAATCTTCAGCGAATGAAGGGACATGTGTTAATGCGTACACTTGCACATGCACTTATACATGCAGGGAATACATCAATTGACACACAGTGGTGCAACGGGCGAGACCAACGTGAACACGGTGGTGAAACCATATGGTGAAACGCGGAAGAGAGGAGGATGACTAGGCTGATGTTTCTGATGATGTTGATTATGATGCCATGACGGCGGTCATGGTCATGCCGATGACAATGACGGTTACAACGACGACGACGATAACGACGATGTTGACGATGATGTCGATGCTAATGGTGTTGGGGATGACACCATAGTGGTTATGATGGTGGTACCGACACCATGGTGATGCCCATTCCATGACGTTGATCGTGGCGATGACGCGGGCGACGCCGATGATGATGAGGATGATGTCAGACCGACACCATACATGACGTCAGATCTGACGTCAGAACAGTGTCGGGCCTGACGTCAGACCTGACGTCAGACCGACGTCCGACCTGACGTTAGGCCTGACGTCAGACCAACGTCAGATCTGACGTCAGGCCTGACGTCAGACCAACGTCAGACCAACGTCAGATCTGACGTCAGATCTGACGTCAGATCTGACGTCAGACGTGACGCCAGACATGACGTCAGACCGAACGTCAGACCGAACGTCAGACCGAACGCCCTTCCTGACGTCAGAGTTTATGTCAGCGATTCTGATGGTGATGACATTGACGATGATGATTACGATGATGGTGATGCTGATGATTACGACGGTGATGATGAGGATGCCGATTTAGATACTGATGCTGATGACGATGATGATGATGCTGATAATGACGACGGTGATGATGAAGTTGACGATGATGATCATTATGGTGGCGATCCTGATGACGGTGAATCTGATGATGCTATCGATGCTGAGGATGATGATGATTACGATTGTGCTCATGATGCTGACGATGCTAATGTTGGCGATGATGTTGATGACGACGACGATGATGATGATGGCGATGTCGACGAGGATGCTGATGGCGATGATGATGGCGATGATGATGATGGCGATGATGATGACGATGATGATTATGCTGATGATGGTGATGTCGACGAGGATGATGGCGATACTGATGATGATGGTGTTGGTGATGTCGGCGAGAATGATTGCGATACTGATGATGATGGTGCTGGTGATGCTGCTCATGATCATGCTGATACGCATGATGATGCTCATGAAGATGACGATGGGGAGGAGGAGGATGGCAACGATGCCGATGATGATGATGCTGATGCCCTTGATGATGATGACGATGATGGTGATGCTGATGATGATGATGTTGATGATGGTGATTGTGATGATGATGATGTTGATGATGATGATGATGATGATGATGGTGATGGTGATGCTGATGATGATGATGTTGATGATGATGCTGATGATGTGGATGATGGGGCGGACGAGGGGCGGGGGGGGGCGAGGGAGGGGGGACGAGGGGTGAAGGGGGAGGGGGAGGAGGAGGAGGAGGCGGAGGAGGAGGATGAGGAGGAGGAGAAGGAGGAGGAGGAAGACGAGGAGGACGAGGAGGAGGAGGAGGAGGAGGAGGAGGAGGAGGAGGAGGAGGGGGAGGAGGGTGGTGAGGATGCGCTGGTGCGTGCCGCCGCCTTCGGGGACGCGTCCTGCCCGACGACCCGTGTCCGATCATCAGCATCAGCAACATCATCATATCATCATTATTATCATCATCATCATCATCATCAGCCTCAGCATCACCATCATCATGATCGTCATCGTCATCATGCGCAACATTGTCATCATCATCGTCACTTGCATCATCAGTATCAACATCATCATCATCATCACCATCATCATCATCATCGTCATCAACACCGCCATCATACTCATAATATGTTTCATCATCGCCCTTATCAGCATCCGCATCGTTGCCATCTTCGTCATCACCAGCAACATCAGTACCATCAGCATCATCACCATCACCATCACCACCATCAGCAGCACCATCATCACCATCAACAACCTCAGCATCGCCACCACCGCCACCTCATCCCACCTGCTCCTCGGTATCGTCATCTTCTCCTCTTCCTCGTCCTCCGCCTCCTTCTCATCCTCCTCCTCCTTCTCCTCCTCCCCCTCTCCCTGGTCGTCCTTCCTCCACCCCACGCCTTTTCTCACGCGTCGCCGGCGCCGTCTCTCGGCGCTGTTTCATGCGCCGACTGGCGCAGCGGCGCACCCGCGAAGCGGTGGAGGACGGGCGAGGATGGCGAGGCGGTTCTTGACCCACGATCCGAACAGTGGCGGACGACGCGCGGAGGGGGTGGGGGTTGGGGCCGATGAGAGGGGGCGGGCGGGGTGAGAGTAGGATGGGCGAGGGATGGGGGTTGGAGGATGGGGAAGATAGGAGGGTAATTGGAGGTCGATGTGACATCATTGCCGACGCGTGGGCGAGGGAGTGCGACTGCACAGTGGAAGCCCGACCACAAGAAACCGTCCGCAAGGATCGCAACCCTGGGACCTCAGGGCGAACATTGCTTTTTGATGCGAGAGCGCCTCGCCTTCCACAGCAAAACCGTCGACACCCAAGAAACCCAGTGCACGCTGGAGGCAAACGTCAGGTTTCTTGGCGTTGGCCCCCCCACTGCAACGTGCCAGCTCGCAGCCCGCAGCGGAAGGCAGAGCGCCAGACCTTCATTCCTTCATCCGCCCGTCCTTTCATTCCCCCCCATACTTCCCCATATCCAATCTCCCCCCGCGCCCCCCTGCCAGGCCGCCCCCCCCCCCCCGCCCACACCGATCCGCGTATCAGGGAAACCGCCATTAATCCCTCACATTTCTCCCCACCCATCACCGCTTGCCCGACCCCAATCCTCCTCGCCCCCCTCCCATCGGGCGTGCCGCGTGCATTCCGCCAGCCATCTAGTCGCGACAGCACCGCGTGAACTCGAGGTCCGCCACCCGATATGGGCGCGCGTGGGCGCTCTGTCTCCCCGTGCCCCCAGAGCGAGGGAGGGGGGCAGGGGAACAGCCACGGGAGGGGCCATGCGATGGAGGAGAGGGGGGGGGGAGGGGCAGATGACGAAGGAAACGTGATGAGCAAGGGGGGGGAGGTGAGTGGGACACCTGCATCCTCGCCTCTCCGCCTCCCCCCCATCCTCCCTCGCCCCTGGCCTTCCTCTTCTCATCCTCCTCCGCCTCCCTGTTCTCGCCCCCCTCTTCCTTATGCCCATCATCACCACCCTCATCACCCACGCTACCATCATCATCATCATCATCATCATCATCATCACCATCACCATCACCATCACCATCACCATCATCATCATCATCGCCATCATCCGCATCCTCATCACCATCATCATCATCATCAGCATCATCATCACCATTACTACCATAAGGGGGACCGTTGCGGTTTCCATGACAAAGTCCCGTGTATGTCTACCGCACCTAACCTTATCTGCTATTTTGCTACACACCTTGTTGATTGGTGTTCCTACGGCCGAAGAGGCGCCAACACGTGTGATGAATCGTTGATAGTCTTCGGGCTGGTAGCACCACACGAAACGTGGATTGAGTGGTGTCTGGCGCACTAAGTGCCATAGGAAGTGGTGCTTGTTCACCACAGAATACTTGTACTTCGGGGGAACACCTTTAAACGCCCTGTCAGACAAGTATTGGTAGCACGCGAGGTAGTTATCCGCCGATGTCTTGAGTTGCGCGCACTCGGCGGGCGATAGAAAGAGCCCGCCCTGCTCGATGGTGGTATACATCTGGCACAAGCTCTTGAGCTGTAGTACCCTCGTTTTCTTCTCCGTGGTGCCATCGTTGTACTCCCTGGCCAGCGCCAGGGCCACCCTAGCGAGAGAACGTGCTTGTGCTGCCTCTACAGACTTCGACAATACTGGGAAGTCGGAGCGGGGGGAGCCTTCGTCAGCAACGAACGTGCCGAACTTGAAATGGGTGATGCGGTGATCTAAACCGAGTTCGTCATAGAGTCCCTGGGTACGTGCCCAGAGCCGCTCCACTATAGCTGTCCTAACCCCGTGCTCCTCTTCGCAAACAATCTCGTAAAACAAGTTGGCGACGCTGTGGCCCGTGATTCCCAGGTCCATGGTGCGCATCACATCAAGCGATAGAGAATGCAGGGAGACCCCCCATATATTGTATATCGGGTGGTCCACTGCATAGTGTCGCGAGTGGTGCTTCCAATGATTGGGTGAATCAGCATTGAACTCGTTGAACGGGTTGTCTGATTTGTTGCACGGGCACAGCCAACAGAATTCGTTGCTATTAGACCCTGGCGTCTGCAGGTAGTTCGAGTAAAACTCGAGGTCGCCCAGGATGGCGCATAGAAGCCCTCGGTATTTCGTGTCGGAGTCGGTCAACCACTTGTTTGCTAGCTTGGCCCTCTCTGGATCTAAACGCATGCCGTTCCAGTCCGACCCCCTCGGCACACCAAGGGACAGCGTTCGGGGAGGCCCTCCGTCGCTCCCGCTGGCCCACTAAAGCCCCGCCACCCACTGCCCATTTCCCTGGAAGCTCCTTCTGACTGCGCCTGCCCCCGCCCTTGCACGCTGCGCCCTAGCGGCGCCACCGCGCCGACCGCGCAGCGAGCCAGGCCGTGCACTGGGCGCCCTAGACACGAGCGGGGGAGAGAGATGAGCAGGATAGACGGGGTGGCCCACACAACATGTGACAGTGCACAACACCACGGGAACCACGACGCGACGACACGGGGTGACTGCGTGCACGGAGCGGCGTAGCCTTCCCAATCCCTCGATGGGTGCTTCCCCGACGCCAACGCATTGAAGGACCACCGAAGGATTTTCCATATATGTATGAAGGTGTCGCACCCGTGTTTGTTTTGTTTGGCAAGCGTGCTCAGGGGCCACGAAACCAAGGCCATTGTCAGGCTCTTTGTGCTACCCTTGGCCAGCAGGCTCGTCATGCTGATTGATACCAGCGAGTCTCGGGTGAGGAACTCGGCCCCGTCACCGTGCACCCGCAATGGGATGCACGTGGAGGCGTGGCCGCAGACGTCCCACACAGGGTGGCCACGTAGTCGTGGTTCGTTCCTGAGACGTGTTTGAGCGGCCGCTTCCTGGATCAAGCGAAAACGGTTAACGACCGACGTGCGTGTATATGCACGCAGATCGGTAACCGTTGTCGTATATATATATATAACATTGTACAACTACATATATGTATATATACATACATACATCAACATATGTGTATTTGTACAATGTTACAAACGCATATACGCACCATGCGTGCACGACCATATACATTGGGGCTGTAGGCGGGCTGGTTAGTTGTAGGTGGGTTGGGGACGTTGTAGGTGGGCTCGGTAGGTGGATGGTTGGTTGTGGGTGGGTTGGGGGCGAACTAGGTTGGTTGGCCATTAGGTGGCACTCTAAACTCACACATTAGACACGTGTACGAATATACATAGACATGTCTGCAAAACTATAAAACGCGCGTCCTGCTGGCATGGTCCCAGAACTCACCCACGCCGGGGGTCCCGAAGATGTCGTGGAACTCCGAGGGGTAGTTGTGAAACAATGCTGAAAACCATTCGTGCGGTAATAGGACCGAGCACGTCGCGTCCGTCACTGTGTTGGTTTTCGGGTCCAAGCACGGGACCTCGATGTCCAAGGGAAAGGGTAGCTTGCTTTTGCCAAGCATGGTGTTGAGCTGCGAGTGGATGTTGCCAGGGTAGTTGCCCCATTGACCCAGCCCCGCCAGCTTGCTGATTTCTGGATGACGTAGGCCGTCCTTGTACGCTGCATGTGCCACTCTCTGAACTTCTGTTGCGGGCAGGAGGCCCCACGTCCATGACTTCAGTAGATGGGTACCTAGATTCGACAACTCCGACCCTGGGGCTGATGGGGCTGGCACTGGCACGTCATCGCTAGAGTCACCGTCCGCGGCGCGGCCATCGGGCGCCAGACGACGTGATTTCCGCGGGGGCACATTGACCGAGGGGTGTGACGGTGTGACCTCGAGCCACGCTGTCTGTCGATTGAACGAGTAACGCACGTCGTGGCGACAACAACCCTTGACGACGGACGCTAGACACACAGCAGGGCACGTGATGGCCGAGGTGGCGAGCGAGGGTGTCTGCGAGAAGACGGGCTGCAGAGGTGCAGGCATTCTGTTGGCCTGCACGCGCTTGGCTTCATCGCCAGCGAAGTCGCTAGCAGCACGTGCCTGGCGCGCTCGCCAGCACAGGCCTGGCCTTCAGGTGGAAGGCCAGGCAGCTCGGGCAGCAACGCGGACCGACCTGGAACGCCAACGCCCAGACTCATCGGATTGATCGTCCAAGGTCTCGCGGCCCATGCGGTGCCAATCCCACCAGCCTTCTGGGCGTCGGTGGTTTAGGGCGTATCCTCTTCCACCCCTCCTTCCTCTTCGGGGAGGGGTTAACCCCTCCCACCACCCCCTCCCCTGGACCTGGACGGGGGGTTTCGCGCCCCGTCGAGAAGCCAATGCACTTGGTTGTGCTCTTTGTTGGCCTCTTTGAGCGAGGGGACTGCAATCTCCCCCCCCCCCCCCCGCCCCCCCCCGCTGTGATCGATACTCACCCAAGATGGCCCACATACTGCCTGAGGGGGGGGGGGGGGGGGGGGGGGGGGTGGGGGGGGGGGGGTGGGAGGGCGGGGAGTGGTCCCCCAGGGTGGGGGGGGCTGTCCCCGGGAGGGCCCCAACGAGGTGGCCAGCGAGCCCCAAGAGAGGGCCTCCCACGTGCCCCCCACGCACGTACCAAGATCCCCAATAACCCCAAGAGCGGGGAAAACCACCCAGAGCCCCACTGGCTGCGCCAAGAGGCCCGTCTGAAACCAACATAAGGTTTTTTCGCCACATGATGGCGCTCTTTTTGGGGGTGAGGGGACCCTGATGGGGATGACTCCAAGAGCGCCTGGGAGAATGTAAGATGACCTCCAGGATGGCTCAAGATACCCCACGATGTCTCAGAATGGCTTCCCCCGCATGCTGCCCACTTCCCCGATCGAGGCAAGTCCACTGGGCATCGTTTCTGGATGGGCTGGTGGGGATTCGCGAAGCGTCAGCAATTGCTTTTCGAGCCCCACGGGGGCCCGCCGCACAGCCGACGTTTCGGATCCGCTTGACCATGATGCGACGTCGGTCTGCACAGCTGCCGCCGCGCGAGCAAAAAAAACGTTTGCAGCACTCCATTGCCATGTTACCCACACGCATCTTCGAGCCAACGTGGCACACGACGCGCCTCGCGATCCTGATTCCTGACACGTGAAAGGGGCACCTGCTGGAATAATTTCTCGATGGCAATGGCGGGCAGCACCGGGCCTGCGCGGGGCCAGCTACCTAGGACTCCGACAGCAAGCTGATGCCCGAGGCGGCCACGAACGCGGCCTTCGCCTGGCTGATGACCTTCTTGGCCTGGGCGGCGTTCACCGTGTCATCCATCAGGAGCTCTTCGGAAGCGTCCCCGAGCTTCTTGATGGCAGCCATCGCCTCTAGATTCAAAGCATCATTACCGTTCGGGTTCGATCATCCTCCTCCTCCTCCTGCTCCTACTCCCCCTCTTCTTCCTCCTCCTCCTCCTCCTCCTCCTGCCTCCCGCCCTCCCTCCCTCCCTCCCCCCCTCCCTCCCTCCTCCTTCCTTCCTCCTCCATCTTCCCTCCCCCCCGCTCCATCCCCATCATCATCAGCATCAGTCTCGTCCTCCTCCTCATCTTCCTCGTCGGGCCGTTGTCTCGCACTGCCCGCCACGAATCGACGTGGGTCGTGAGCAACAGCCTCACGACCAATGTGGGCCGCTTTCACCAACCTCAACACCACCATCGCCTCCTAGTTCCCCTCCTGTTCCTCATCCTCCTCAGCCTCATCCTCATCCCCCTCATCCTCCCATTCCTCGCCCTTAATCCTCCGATCCCTCCTCCTCGTCATCATCGTCATCCTCCCCGATGTTCCGCAGTCTCACCACCATCATCATCCATGTCACCTTCCTCCGACTCATCCTGTTCGTCTGCCCCAGTGTTGCCATTTCAGTCCTCGTCCCCCCTGCCGTGCATACATCATAAGTTCGCCATCATCCCCAGCTGGCCTTCTTGGCCTGATCCACGTCCTTGCCGCTGCAGTCGTCGCTCTTCTGGGCGAGCCTGACGATGATGATCAGCGCGCTGCCGCCGTCCTAGGGCGACGAACCACGACGACGATGGCGACGGCCACGACGGACGACGGACGGCGACGACGACGCGCCATCGGCCAAGCGGTGCATTGTCTGGTCTCTCGTTCCATCCTCCTCATCATTCTCTTCCTCCGCCCCCTCTCCGAATGAGAGGGGAAGGGGGGATGATGCTGATGATGCTGATGATGCTGATGATGATGATGCTGATGCTGATGATGATGCTGATGTTGATGATGCTGACGATGCTGAT